GGAATACTAAACTAGATGAAAACTACAGCAGTTGTATATATGTCAGAATCCATTTACACGTTAAGAAACTTACAAATCCTAAATAAAACTGGAGTATGTAGTTACATCTACATATTTAATACTGTCTTACAAAGAACAAGAAAAGTTGGGAAATTGACTCCTCTCACACTCTTCTAGATTATCAAGGTGGGTTTAGTTTTTAAATGCAGGTACCTTGCATCCAGTTCTCTGGATCGAGAAATTTAACAGTGAAGATTCAGGTTCTTAATGTGTGGCGTTTGAGCAAGGACTTTTCAATTTTCAATTTCTATTCTTCTTTACACAAATGGGGTGGAATACACAGAAATCAGACACAGAAACTTGCATGTGGCATCCCTCAATAGTGAGTAGCAAGAAACTGACATTTTAAGGATGTAACTTATCTTAAGGTAAACATTTCAAATAGTGCAGACAAATCTTATTTTATAAGAGTTGTCTTTTCTCTAATGGAAATCTATGCAGTCAGAGTGGGATTCAGTCAGCAACTATGACCACCTAAATCTAAGTAGTTATGCTACTGTACTCTGCAGAGATGCAGACATTACGCCAGAGCCTAAAGAGTGATTCAGCTGTCCAACCACTACATACAGGATTCAGATGCGGTATGGTGGCAGCTAGGGCCGTTTTACCTGACACTGGGTATCCTGAGAATCACACCCAGAAGCAAGAAGGGTGCAAATCTCTCTAAAGTGTGTCGTATTTGCTATCCTCATGTACCTGGCTTAGATAAACACAGAGTATTTCAAATGGCACTAGTAAAAATACTTTTAGGAATCTGAATCCAGTCCTACTCTAACACCACTGCACTGCAATGATCTAATTACATGAACAAAGGACAGTGTAGCAAAACCAGATGCTTCAGTGGTTTTCACACACTTTTTACAGTGAGAAAGAAGTGTGTATGCTGGGCCACTCTGAAGAATTCTTTGAGACTGGAAAAGGTCTGAAGCCACTTCTATAAGACACACCATAGCTAAGAAATTTGGTTTTCCAAGCAGGATCTTCAGCAGGGCTTTCAGAATGACTGATCAGAAATACCTGAGAACCCCAAGAAGGAAGTTAATGTAGATATGATGTGGCATGAAGCTGGCACAGGCCATACTACTCCATGCTAAAAGGCCCTTTGCCTCACTCTCCTTGCCTAGTTCCTCCATGTTAGTTAACAAAGCAGTAACTTTTGCTTCCTAATGAAAAGCCACTCTATTACTCCCACTCCTCCGCTGGACAGGGGAGAGAAAATACAGCAAAAGGTTCCTGGGTCGAGATAAGGACAGGGAGAGATCACTCAGCAATTATCATCACGGGCAAAACAGACTCAACTTGGGGAAAATTAACTTATTACCATACAAATCAGAGTAGTATAATGAGAAATAAAACCTAAGTCTTAAAACACCTTCCCACCACCCCTTGCTTCTTCCCAGGCTTAACTTCACTCACAATCTCTCTACCTCCTCCCCTCTGAGCAGCGCGGGGAATGGTGGTTGTGGTCAGTTCATCACATGTTGCCTCTGACACTCCTTCCTTCTCAGGAATGGACTTCTCACACTCTTATTCTGCTCCAGTGTGAGATCCTTCCCACGGGAGACAAGTCTTCCATGAACTCCAACATGAGTCCTTCCCGCAGGCTGCAGTTCTTGACAAACTGCTCCAGTGTGGGTCCCTTCCATGGGGTGCAGTCCTTCAGGAGCAAACTGCTCCAGCATAGGTCCCCCCACAGGGTCACAAGTCCTGCCAGCAAACCTGCTCCAGCATGGGCTTCCCACAGGGTCACAGCCTTCTTTGGGCATCCACCTGCTCTGGCGTGGGGTCCTCCATGGTCTGCACGTGGATATCTGCTCCACTGTTAACCTCCACGGGCTGCAGGGGCACAGCCTGCCTCACCATAGTCTTCATCACAGGCTACAGGGGGAATCTCTGCTCTGTCACGTGAAGCACCTTCTCCCCCTCCTTCTTCACTGACCTTGGTGCCTGCAGAGTTGTTGCTTTTACATATTCTCACTCCTCTCTCCAGCTGCAGTTGCAGTTTTCTCTTTCCCCTTCTTAAATACATTATCCCAGAGGTGCTACCGCCAGTGCTGATGGGCTCAGCCTTGGCCAGCAGTACGTCTGTCTTGGAGCCAGCTGGCATTGGCTCTGTCAGACAAAGGGGGAAACTTCTAGCAGCTTCTCATAGAAGCCACCCCTGTGGCCCCCCACTATTAAAACCTTGCCATGCAAATCCATTGTAGAAACAGGGTGAAAAAAATTCTATGGGTTGATCAGGCAGGCATTAATATGGGGTAAAACAAGTATTATTTAACAAGCAAAGCAAATGTTAATGAATTGGTTCTAAATATGTGTTGCAGAACTGAAGTTTAAAAAAAAAAAAAAATCCTAACTGTTGCCAACAGAAAAAATAACTCTCCCCAACTAAGAAATTTGCAAATATTAAAAGTAGGATGTGTTCATTTTCAGTTTCTGCTAAACAGACTGGATGAAGAGCCTAGTTGCTCAAGCATAATAATTTCTGTCTTTTTAGCTGACCACTATTTCATGTGGATCAAAACTAATCCTTTAATTTTTCTAAGGATTTGTAGAAGCATGTCACATAGTTTAGTAAATGTGACTAGTTAAGTATATAGAAAATGTTTTTCTTTCTTTTTGTGGAAATTTAGTAGTGTATAGCTTGAGTATTAACCAAATTTTCTCCTCCTGCAACTGTCTTTGGCTCTGCCAACTGTCATTACAGATCAAAGAGAAAACTGTATCTCCGTTAATTAAGTTTTCCACCAATTTACTCGATCTTCCACTGTCTATCACACTGATCTTCTTTATACTGAAGCACTGAAGATATTCACATCTCATTTGTCTCCCTATCTCATCTCCTGGACACTATTTACTGCAATCTCTTTATCTCCAATGAGACAATTTAATTGTAGGCTCACATTCAAAAACTGCCCTAAAATGGCTGATTTTCTCTTTCTCAAAACAAATGTTTTAGTGCTTAAATGTGTTTATATTCTTTAATGTGCACATATCATTTTAGCATCTAAATGGATGCTTTGTACATTTCTGATTGCATAAATCTGGCTAAATAAAATCCTTGCAACCAGTAAGTCACTCCCGGTAAAAACTTACCTTCACAGACATGATCTCTTTTGATCAGCTTCTTGTCTGCTACATGCAAAATACACGTTTGGTCAGGAGGGAATCCTAAGTACAGAATTTTTATGAATGGAGTCACATGGATTGGTTAGCCTTGACCCATATAAAGATTTGTTGTCAATCAAAAAATGGAAATTAATATGCATGAAGGTCATGCCCCATTTTTTAATATAATATTACAAGAATTTATAGAAAAAACTGTGAATGCTTAGCTTTTCAGTTTGTTTTTTTTTGGTTATGTTTTTTTTTTTTTTTTTTCAATTCCAATTCCAATTCTAATTCATATTATTTTTTCTCTCTAAAACTTCAGAGCTAGTTTCAAACCTGGGATGGCTATGGAGCAAATCCTCCTGGAGTCTTTATCTAGGGCATATGATGGACTGGAGGTGACTGGGAACAATCAACACAGATTTACAAAGGGCAAATTCTGCTTGAGCAACTTGATAGCTTTCTATGATGAGACGATCAGCTATGCAGTTGATGGGAAAGCAGTGGATGTCATTTACTGTCTTTACTATAGTTTTCAGGATGGTCTCCCACAGTATCCTTTAAGTGGTGAAATGGTTTCAATAGGTGGACTATAATGTGGGTGTAAAATGAGCTGGACTGTTGCACTTAAAGGGTTGTGATCAATGGTATGAAGTCCCACTGGTAGTGGTGCTCCATGGGGGGTCACTACTGAGGAACATATCTTTATTAAAAACCTGGATAAAGAGACAGAATGCAGCATGAGGGAGCCTGTGGAAAATAACAAAATCACTATTCTCGACGGCAGGGCTGCTGTTCAAAGGGACATCAAGAGACTGGAGAAATGGGCTGACTGGAACCTCACAAAGTTCAACAAGGGTGCCTGCAAAGTCCTGTGGCTGGGATCGACTAACATCAGACAACAAAACTGGATGGGGAGATCAGCTGTGCAGAAGAGCTGAGCAATGAAGGTCAAATGCATTATTGGGCTGCATTAGAAAGAGTGAGGTCAGCAGGTTAAGGGAAGCGATTCTTCCATATTTAGCACCTGAGACTACATCCAGAGTATTCTGATCAGTTTTGAGATCCTTTACAGAAGGAAGATTTTGAGAAACTGGGCACGCTCACTTGAAGGTCACCAAGATGATTAGGGAGCTGGAGCACAAAACTTACAAAGAAAGGCTTGGTAATGTGGGTTTATTCAGGCATAAGAAGAGAAGACGAAGGGAGTGGATTTTACTGCTACCTTCAGCCAGAAAAATACTCTCAGAGTATTTTGTTCCTCTGGACGTAACATCTGCAACACAGTTGAATATTTAATCAATTTTTTTTCACAGCATTCTGGCATATAAACTCTGATCCTGTTAATTCATGCACTAGCACAGGCCTGGAATGGCTGGCTGGAAAGCAGTTGTGCAGAAAAGGACTTGGGTACCTGGTGGAAAAGCTGACCATGAGACATCAATGTGCCCTTGTGGAAAAGAAGACCAACTGCCTCCTGGGCTGTATTAACAGCATTGCTAGCAGGTTGAAGAAGATGATCCTTCCCCTCCACTCACCACTGATGAGACAGAACTTGTTTGCTGGGTCCAGTTCTAGGCTCCCCAGCACAAGACATGGACTCACTGGAGCAAGTACAGCGAAAGGGCATTAAGATGATTTAGAGACTGGAACATCTGACATACAAGTTCGGACTGTTCAGCCTGTAGAAGAAAAGGATCAGAAGGATCTTAACAATGTCTATAAAGACCTGACTGGGAGAGTAAAGAGGAAAGAGCCAGGCTCTCCTCAGTAGTACCCAGTGACAGGACAAGAAGCAAAGGGCACAAATTGAAATATAAGAAATTCCATTTACATATAAGAAAAAGCTTTTTTACTGTCAAAGTGGTCAAACACTGGCAAAAGTTGTCCAGAGAGGCTGTGAAATCTTCAACCTTGTTGATACTCAAAACCGAACTGGACAAGGTCCTGGGCAACCAACTCCAGGTGACCCCGCTTTGAGAAGCAGAGGTAAAGTAGATGATCTCCAGAGGTGTCTTCCAGGCTGAACTACTCCACAATTCTGTAAACAGTAATGTAGGTAACAACATAAAAACCTTAATTATGCCAGAAAATAGCAAGGTTACCTCATTCTTGTAACATTTATGTTCTGAAAACCACACAAGCAGCTTTAACAGAATAATTGACTCAAGAAGTCAGTTGGGTTTCTTAGAAAATCTACTTCCACAGTGCCTTCAGAGCACTTCATAAAACATATCTTCATGGGCTTTGAAACAGAGTTAATAAGAATCTCTTTGAATTGAAAAAAGACTACTTTAGTCTGACAAAATATTAATAGCAAGCAGGGCTGTTTTGTATATGATGACAAGTCACTGAACAAACACAACCATGGGAAGTTCTACTTTGGAAGAACGTTATTCTCCACACTCTTTCTCCTGTCTAGGAAGTCAATAGGAGCTGTACCTGAAAAAACATTTTCTACTCCATGCATTAATTCAGCACAGACTGTGCAAGAAAACAACAAGCAAAACAGAGCAAACGTACTCTTATCTGGTCTTGGTTTTTCTGGCTAATCTGAATCTGTAGAATATAGCATGGACTTCACTCACTACCTACAAATACTGCTCAAAACTCTAAGTTTAACTAATACCTCTCTGACACTCTCCCTTTCAATATGAATACTTTTAATTAAAAATAAAAATAAAATAAAATTTAAAAACAAAGAAAACCAAACTTCCAAAATCCTCTAAATCATCTGAAACAATAATTTCCTATAAAAATGACAAATTGACAAGTTGCAGGAACTTTTGAGTAGACAGTGTTTCCTTGAACTAACAGATTTGTTCCCTTACAGAAGTTTTCCCACAATAGCTTTATTGGAGATGATCAGCTTATTTGTGTTAGAGAGAATATGGATTAAAAGCTATGGTACAGATCTAGTAGGAGCAGTAAGTCTAACAAATTAGTTTATTTGTGAGGGGATTTGTTGTTAGTTCTTATTTTACTTATACTATTACGATTTTTGAACCTACTAACTTCTGAATGATCAGTTCTGCAAGGATATGCTTCCTGTTACAACTTGTGTATTAAGATTGGTTATTATGTCATAATGAATGTCACATTACCATTTTAGTTTCTGAAGTTCCTGCAAAAATATCATGCTCCATTGTGCATCATATAAAAGTAAGGAAACTTGTTTATATAATATATTTTATTATGTAATGTATATGTTCTGTTTTTTCCATGTGGTATTTTTTAACTTTTAGAGTAGGTCTTCTGTGTTGGGAAATCTGTTTTTACAGTTAGTTGAATGTGGTATTTTACAGAGGAAATATATTAATCCTCTTTTTATGCAACATGTACATTTGCTGCTCCTTACAGGTGACACATTTGCAATACACTGACTGAATCTGTATCGCTTATTACTCTGTACGGGAAACAAACCAGACCCAGGAGCTTACTATTTACAACAGACAGCACATTTCAAATATTTTAATGTAATAGAGATAATACGATGAATTTAAGGTTACATAACAATCTTACCGCAGCCATCTCTTGGCTTATATATTAAGGAAAAACAGATGGAAGCAAGAACTGGTGAAGAACTGGTAATTTGTGCAATACAAACAACATGATTGAGTACAGGGAGAACAGCATGTGGAAGGCAGAGAGATAAGAGGGAAAATACGCACAGAGTGCAAGTAAGGTAGGGACCAGAAAAAGAAACTAGAAAGCAAAAAGAAAATTAAAATAGTGCTGGAATTATGCAGGATAAAAAGCTTTAATTTTATACAGAAGAGGAAGAGTGCCCAATAAAGTGGTGCCAGAAGTTTTTGCCAGACTACAATAAAATTGTGTCCAAATGGAGACAATACACATGTAATTATGAATTAAACTATGAAAAAATGTAAAATTCAGAGATTTTTTTCCTCTATCATTTGAGTTTTGGGTAGATTTTGGAAGTTAACCATGTGTTTGATGTTATCTCATACTTCCCCATTTCATTTTCACATCTTATGTAGTTTCAATTATCTGACTACTTCATTAACAATCCTTGTAGCTTTACCGTTTTGGTTCCATTCATGTAGGCAGTAGACAGGTGATACCCACAAATCTTCTCCATTCTTTTCCAAGCTACTTTGTATTTCCTTTTTCTGTCATCACATTCCTGTACAGCTCATTTCCTCTGAATTAGTGTACTGAACTAGGGCAAGAAGCAATGAGCACAAATTGAAACACCAGAGGTTCCTCCTGAATATCAGGAAACACTTTTTCATTGTGAGGGTGACCAAGCACTGGCACAGGTTGCCCAGAGAGGTGGTGCAGTCTCCATCCTTGGAGATACTCAGAAGACATCTGCCCGTGGTTCTGGGCCACCTACTCTAGGTGGCCCTGCTTGAGCAGGATGGTTGGATCAGATCACCTCCAGAGGTCCCCTCCCACCTCAAGCATTCTGTGACTCTGTGATGTCTTATTTCCAGTGAATCTATTCAATCTTCCTTTTGCCATTCCATTTAATTTATTTTATTCAGTTCTATTTACTACTCTGGTTTATAATCTCTGTGTATCACTCTGCCCTTCCAGCAACCGTATTTCTGACTTCTCTTTGGGAGTGTTCCCAGAGCAATTGCTGAAGGTGCAATGAAGCTTTCAGAAAAAGAGAATTACCTGAGGTGTAATAGCCCAAAATGACCCCACAGGGTGAGACAACTGATTCCAGTAAGTGATGAGGACTGCAGGACAGAGGGCATGAAGGACAGACATCTAGGTAAATATTTAAATCATCACTAAAACAATTGTTTTAGTTTTTTCTCTTTTCACAGCAGGAAAACCTGAAGGGTTTAATTATGCAAACTTTCGATAGATGGATGATGCCCTGTTCTGTGAAGACACCACATTAGCCTCAGCTGATGTTGATCCTGAAATGTGAAATGTAGTTATTCTTTTGCTCTTGCATGAGAATGATAACCATTACTGTATTTATTCACCAAAATCCTATTTGCACTTTCTTCAAATTCCAGATCTTAATTTTATTTTACTTTCATGTATGGCATGATTGTTAACTGAGAATTATTTTATTAAAGTTTGATATAATCTGTTACGCCTTGTAGTATTTTAACTTTAAAAATACTGTATAAAGTCCCTGAAATAATTTAATTTTGGACTTACAAAAATCAGAACAATTCGAAAGAGCAATTCATACACTGGGTGAGTTACAACCTTAAGTTACCTGTCTCTTCCCATATTCTAACACGAGCACCATATAAAACTGAGTTAAGTTCAACTAGGTGCCTAAAGTTACAAGAGGAATAGTGGAACAGGGGCTCTGGGTTATGAAGCTCCAGAACAGCATAAGGGCATGAACATGGGGTGGGATTCACCTCACCAGACCCTGTTGTTTGTATAAAGTAGATGTCAATATGAAAGCTAGTCAGCCTAGCCTCTCCCTATTGTCAATCTGGGAAGAAATAGGCACTTTGAGGGAATAGCTCATCTTTTCAGATATCTACTTCAGAATGATACAGATTGTGTACTAGAAGTACCTTCTTTGCTTTGAATATAATGGGAGCCCATGGGAACTAGTTAGGTATAGATATTTACAAAGTTGGCACCAACATTTGGCCAGCTGAACCTTACCCCTTCTGTTGGATCTGTAGAAGTCTTAAAGGTATTAATATATTTTCTTAAGTCTTGATAAATTGTAGTATTTAGGAGATGGCATAAAGATATCCTAACAAGATAATACCATATATAATAAAAACCTATAATGGAAAGTAAACAGATGTTACTGAAAAGAATTACACATTATTCAGAAACTTCATCTGCTATTTAAGGGTCATTTTCTGTTCTCTGCTTGTTTCTTCATTATTTTTAACAGTGTTACACATCAAAGCTTAAAAATCCCTTGTGCCAATATAATTTTGCAGTTATTAGAATTCATTTTGCTTTATGGGTAATGGTCCAGAAACAAGACATTTCTCACCACGTCTAACACAAAAACATCTTAAATGTTCAGCCAAATCTTCAGTATTGTGCTACAGCAAGCACTGAATGAGGAGACATATTTCCCAGGTCAGAACATTCCAGCTAAACCTCTGATCCATTAAGAAGTCCACAGGAAGGCGACATGCAGGGAAATTCTTGGCTTTGTACCCAAGGAAATTAGAAGGCAAAGCCTGATAAACAGAGTCAAGATTTGAAGGCTGGTGTCCTGAACCACAGCAGGTTAGAAAGGCCTGTTCTAGATGAAGAAAATTAAAGGTCATGCTTATCTTTCTGCCAAACAAAGCTTTAGCAATTTAAAAGTCCAGACTTTGAAAACACAATGCAGGTTTTCACTTCTCTTTTATTTCCACAGATGTACCACCTCCTGCCATCTCCATAAATCTCTCTTCTAATCCCTTCAAACACTAAACTAGTCATCTGTGTAACCTCACCTCCGTGTCAGTGAAAACTGTCCTCTTGCAGTAATACTTGCAGACTATATAAACTCTTTTCTGGGCTTGGCATCAAAGGGAACAAAAAGGAGAGGAGGAAAAATATGAGTGGTATCTTCATAACAAATGACTAAATAAAGAAAATATATACAAGATGTCCTTGTTTAGAGAACTATGAGGGATATCACAGTTTGACACCTTGTACTAAGCCTGCCGGAATCACAGCTTCCTGGACCTGAAATTAATTTCTTCGTTAGTCTCCTTCTCTTTGCCAGTCTTTACATTAAAAAATGGAAAAATAATTTGGCTTAATTTCTTGCTTCACTTCAGCAAGAATCTGTACAGGTTTTTTAGTTAAACGTTAACTGTGAAGTCAGTAGAATAACCTGATTTATATAAAGTTTAAAGAAAAAAAAAAGTATCTCTCATTAAAAAAAAAGTCTGATAGACTCAGCGCTTTATGAATAATTAAACTGCAGTAGGAGCTGAATCAGGACTCTTGATGTTGTTTTTTTTTTTTATCATGGCTGCACATAAGGGATGAAATTTTGGTCTCTCACTGAATTTTCACAGACTTAGCTACAATTTAATTCTGCACATAAAGCACAACCTGCTTAAGATGTGA